TCTCTCTCTCTCTCTCTGTGAGCATTTTGAATCAGGTTCACAGTGGGAAGTCAAGCTGCCTGCCTTACTAGCTACAGATTCAGCTACACACACAAGGCTTGTTCACAAACACACACACTCATTCTCTCTCTCTCTCACCGTACAGTTTGCTCGGCACATAAAGTCACAAACAAGGTTGTTGCCCTCTGATCTCAAGGCTTAAGTAGTTGCTCTCTCTCTTTTTCTCTTTCCTGTTCAGAACTAAAGATGATTATTTAGAGGGAATAAAGCTGGTTTAAAAGAGCAGATATTAACTCTACCTCTGCAGATTAGATGCAGCATATGTGTGTTTGCTTGTTATGCAATTCATGCACATTTGTAAATGTTTCTCCGGTGCATACATTTATCTAACTTTTCAAGGCAGTTGCCTTGCAAGATGACACAAGAATCCATTTTAGCAGGGTTCAGTATATGAGTTGTGGTCGGTACAGTGTACCGGACCTTTAAGGAAGTACTGGTAGCGACGGTGATGGGTTCTTCCGACTGACTTCAGTAAAAGTTTGATACGTATGGTTCAGTGATCTGATTGCTTGAAGTCCGTCCATGCTAGACATTAATAGACAGATAGCTCATCCAATCACCTGAATACCAAGTATTTATTGATATATTGAAATTTTCCAACAATTTCCAATGACGATTTCCCAGATGGTTCGCTGTAACAAACAATCTGTCACAACAAGGCTAACATGTATCTACCTAGGAGCCCTTTTCCAATGCAGGAACTCAACGAAAAGTAACATAACATGTGGCCATTTGTCAGTTGTCTGATCACAGCAGACATTTCAATCTAAATCCTAAATCTCTACATGTTGATGGTAGTACAGTAAAAGTCAGGACATCACCATACCATGCTAAAAAAGAATAACCAATTAAGATGCCCCTGCCTTTCAAAGTATTTGGGGAGAGGAGGCCATTCAGAGGGAGCTATAGTCGGTTATTAGAAACCAAAAGGTGGGCCAGAAGATATCTCAGCGTCTGGCAAAACTGAGGATGCAACATACAGCCAAACAGTGCAGGAAAAAACAGTATAAATATAAATAAAGGATCATAATGCGTATGATGTGAAGCAAACAAAAACATTATGAAGTGTTTCGACATACTGGATGCCATTTCAAGCAACCGATAGGCTAGTTCTGCCCCCAGCAGTGCCCTGGATTCAGTCTTTCTGACAGAAAACAATAACAATTCCACAATACCACCGCTGTCTGTTCCACAACTGCTTACTTCAGTTGCCTTCGAAATAGCTCACATAAATGATGTAGTATGGTTTGGTCCCACTTGCCTGTTTGATGATTTATATCCAGAACATCTTTGTAAGTAGTTGTAAAATATAGTGGATATGCAAGAAGAGCGCAGCATCAAAGCCTCACAAGCTTCTTAGACGTTTAGGTTGTGGAAAAAGTATTAAGGTAAACTGCTTGTCATAGAGAAGTGTGAAGAGCTCTACTGGAGGGAGGAGCTGATAATGATGGTGGGGAGCGCTGTCTAACACGTCACTCCAAAATCTACCATAGGTGCTCAACTGGTTTTGATTGTGAAGGCCATACAATAGCATA